TGCCTGCATCGGCGTGATGCACGGCGCTGACATGGCCTCCATGACGGCTGCGTTGCAGAGTTATTGATCCTCACCCATTAAATGTTGGCAATGAGCAGCTCTGATCTGTTCCTGCTGCTTCTAACTTCTTCCAGTCTACGTCCGGGTGCAGATATTCTAATAATAGAGCTGTAGAGTATTTACGGCGACCCTGCTGCTAACTTGTCCTTCACCTTTTCTTCTTCTCTGTCTCCTTCTGCTTCCTGGCGGCCCTCCAAACCTCCACTGCAGCATATCGTGAGTAAACCTTCCAAACGCCTTCGCTCTTGGTTTTTCTCCCTGCTTTGCCTTTTTTCTCTAACTGTGAATTAGATTTCATGTCTGGAATCCTGTTGCTGCTGTGGCTTTGTGCTGTAGTCTGCATGTCCCTGAAGCCCGCAGCCTTTAGGGTGATCAGGATGAGGATTTAATAATCAGCTGCAGCGAAGCACGGATCACCGAATGCTACAGAAAAAGGACCTGCCTGGAGCGCGACTTTAGCTGCTGTCGGGCCGGGAGTCTAAAACCGTTAGCTCATGCTAAACCGTTAGCTGATGCTAAACCAGCGCGGCGGGAGCAGATGCTCCATCCCACCAACTGATGGAAAAGTTTAGACGATACTAAAAATCTCATTTACCGTCAGAATATTTTGAAATGAAAAATCTTCATTTTCTTGACAATTTCTTTTATTAACGATTTATTTCAGCTTTACAGCAGAGTTTGTATTTTCAACAGTCTGTGAGAAGGAAGCTTAAGCTAAAGGCTAGTCAGACTCTTACGGAGAACTAAAATAGATAAAAGACGGGAAATTCAGGTTTTTATTTGCATAAGACACATTAAAGTGTCCTGAAGTGGTGCTGGAGTTTACAGCCTGCTCCACCCAGGGCCCGCTCAGTGGGGTCAGCCTCACAGAGGATGCAGATGTCCTGGTTGGCCTTCTCTGTCTGACCGTCTGTTACAGACTGACAGAGACCCCTAACAAAGAGCAGACCCTCCAGATCCAAACTGGGGACCCCTGTCTGAAACAATGTGAGACCATGGAGCTGAAAACCCCGCGGATGAGGACCTCCTCCATTTCTTTAGCAGAGGGAGTTTGGGCAGAGGAACCAAATGAATTATTTTGGAACAGCTGTCAATGATTGTTAGAACGTTGTGGTAACCTGGAAATGTGAGACCATGGCTGCGGCAGGGTGGGTAGAGGCTGCAGAGAGCCAGGAGGAGGTCTTTTGGATGTCTCAGATTCCTGCACATCTGCAGACAGAAAGGCCACCGAAACTGAGTCTGAACAACACTAAAGGTCGTAGTAACACCAGGACCATGACAAAACTCTAAGACCTTCCCTCTCAGAGCACCTGGAACAAACAGACCATCAATGGGACAGTCACTAGGGGAAGGTTGACCAAGGAGGACCTGTCTGACCTCCTTTTCAATGTCAACCAGAGTGATAGCACGCTATTCTAGCGACGTCCCTCTCCACCGCAGGAGAAACGAGCTGATGCCTGAAACGACGATCCTTCTCCTCCTGGGAGTGTCGTTCCAGCTGCATCGCTTCAGGACCAGATTAAGGAAGGAGTTCTGACTTCGTCCTCTGAGCCTCTATAGGCAGGGAGCAGCAGGAACCCGCTCCCTGCGTTGCTCCTGAAGGCCAAGGTCAGTCCTGAGCTAACTCCTCCCTCAGAGAGTCAGGATAATCCCGGGGGGAGAGCTCGTCCTTCATCCTCTCGCCGAGTCCCTTTAGAGCCGCCTCATTCCCTGGACTCTCTGCAGGGGAGAACCTGGCTGAAAACACGGATTCATTCCTCTGAAAAACCCTGCTAGCTTCACAAAGGAAGGAGTTCCTCTGCGCTCCGACGTTCCCATAACTCGGCCTTATCCTGTAAGCCATGTTGGCTCGATCAGAGGGAGGCGCAGAAGGCTGCAGCTGGTGAAAAAAGCTCCCCATTCAATAAATTCAGCTTCTTTTAAAGATCTTTTATTTCATTTTTACTCCACCCAGATTTAAAATCAATACATAGATTCATTAAACATTCATTGATTTAGTAAAGATTTCATTTCTATTATCATGATTTTTTTCCCCCTCTCATGTTAATGGAAAGAAAACATTTTAGATGGAAATATTCCACTGAAACAATATATATATATATATATAT